GGGACCTGGCCGGTTTGGCTCAGCGGTTAGAGCGTCTGCCTGCGGTCCAGAGAGACCCGGGTTTGGTTCCTGCTAAGGGCATGTACCTCGGTTGCAGTTTGTCCCCGGCCCTGGTTGGTCGTGCGGGTGGCAGCCACTCGATGTGTCCCTTTCACATCGATGTTTCCCTCTCTCTCTCCCTCCCACTCTGTCTGTACAAAAAATGGAAAAATGTCCTTGGATGAGGATTAAAAAAAATAAAATAAAATAAAATGGTATTAGGTATATAGTACCCACTTACTAAACTGCTTATTAAGGAGATTTTTACAAGGCTTTTTTTTTTTTTAATGTATTTTTATTATTTTTTAGAGAGAGAGGAAGGAAGAGAGAAACATCGATGTGAGAGAAAAACATTAACCACTGCCTCCTGCATGTCTTCCACTGGGGATCAAGCCTGCAACTGAGGCATGTGCCCTGACCAGGAATTGAACCGAGACCCCTCAGTCCACTGGACAATTCTCAATCCACTAGCCACACCATCCAGGCTGTCATTATTTAGTTGTTGTTGTTGTTAGTCCTCACCCAAGGATATCTTCCCATTGAGTGAAAGGGAGGAAGGGAGAGAGAGAAAAACATCAATGTGAGAGAGACACATCAATTAGTTGCCTCCTGCATGACACCAACCAGGGCCAGGGACCGAGCCTGCAACCTGAGCATGTGCCCTGACCGGGAATCAAACTGGGACCTCTCAGTCCATGGGATGACACTCAGTCCACTGAGCCAAACCAGCCAGGCTAAAAGGCTTTTTTTTTTACAACTTCATCCAATATTTCTAACTGTGAATTGATAAATCTATTAAAATGTCTTTGTTTTTTTATCAATTTCATCAGGTAAATTTTATAAATATCCAAATTAGCACCAATTGAAATGATTTAGGCTACTGTGTCTTTCCCAAAGTTATATTAAAAAATTATGGCCCTGGGGAGGGAGGAGGAGGGGGAATCAGTGGGGGAAAAAGGAGAAACTTCTGTAACAAAAATTAATTAATAATAAAAAAAAAATACAAGGAAAAAAAAAAAAAAATATGGCCCTGGCCGGTTTGGCTCAGCGATTGGAGCGTAGGCCTACAGTTCAGAGAGACCCAGGTTCGGTTCCTGCTAGGGGCGTGTACCTCGGTTGCAGTTTGTCCACAACCCTTGTTGGTCGTGCGGGTGGCAGCCACTCAACGTGTCCCTTTCATGTCGATGTTTCTCTCTCTCTCTCTCTCTCTCTCTCTCTCTCTCTCTTCCTCCCACTCTATCTGAACAAAAAATGGAAAAATGTCCTCGGGTGAGGATTTAAAAAAAAAATTATGACAGAATTTATTAATAGGAGAGATTTTTTTTTAATCCTCACTGAGAATATTTTTACATTTATCTTCAGACAGAGTGGGAGGGGGAGAGAGAGAGAGAGAAACATTGATGTGAGAGAGGGACATCGATTGGTTGCCACCTGCATGACCCCGACCGGGGTTGGGGACGAACCATAACCCAGGTACGTGCCCTTGGCCGGAATCAAACCCAGAATTCTCTGGTCTGCGGGCTGACACTCTAACTGCTGAGCCAAACCAGCAAGGGCAAGGAGAGATTTTTGTAAAGACTTGTGGAGGACCAAAATTTTGCCACCACAAAATATGCCTTTTAGGGATATTGATTTTAAACTGGTTATTAAGAAACAAGACTCAGCCCTGGCCAGTTTGGCTTAGTGGTTAGAGTGTTGGCCTGTGGACCAGAGAGGCCCAGGTTTGGTTCTCACTAAGGGCATGTACTTCAGTTGCAGTTTATCCCCAGCCCTGGTTCCTCCCTCTCTCCCTCCCGCTCTATCTGAAGATAAATACAAAAATAAGTAAATAAATAAATGTCCTCAGGTGAGGATAAAAAAGAAAAAAGAAAGAAAGAAACAAGACTCAGAGCCTTTAACTCTCCTCCTTACCTCCAAAAGGAATTAAGATAGAAAAAGAAAGGGAGCTTCACCTTATCATTACAATATAAACTAAATGTGGCAGAAAGTGAGGAACCCAGCAAAGCCTGTTTGTTGAGCTTCCTTCTTCTTCTTCTTTTTTTTTTTTTATCCTCACCCGAGGACATTTTTCCATTTTTTGTTCAGACAGAGTGGGAGAGAGAGAGAGAGAGAAATATCGACGTGAAAGGGACACATCGAGTGGCTGCCACCCGCACAGCCAACCAGGGCCGGGGACAAACTGCAACGAAGATACGCACCCCTAGCGGGAACCGAACCCGGGTCTCTCTGGACCGCAGGCCGACGCTCTAACCGCTGAGCCAAACCGGCCAGGGCTGTTGAGCTTCCTTCTGTGACCCATTGTTTCTGGGTGGGCCAGCAAGAATGTTTCCCACATGTTTGCTCTTTCTTGTCTATCTGTTAATTGCCAGGTTTTCTTTTGAAATCTCAGACCCTTGTCCCCCTTCATCTCTGACCAAAATGGCATATACACCTCAACTGTCCAATGCACTTTGGGTCATAGTCTGATGGTACTACCCCACATATATCCATAATCAATCTTGGACATTTTCTTGTTCATCTGCCTCATGTTAATTTGACTATTAGCCCAGCTAGAAGAATTTAAAAGGTGGAGGCAATGTTGTTTTTTTTGTGCCCAAAACACAACTAACACTTTTGTATGAGAAATAATTTGGAAGAGGAGCTTTTATTTAGGCTTTCGGGTTTGTCAGACTGGCTAGTCCACGTTAAAACTTTAAAGAAAAAAAACCCTGGCCAGTATGGCTCAGTTAGTTGAGCGTGGTCTTGTGCACCAAAGTGTCGCCAGTGTGGGGGGAGTGCAGGAGGCAACCAATCAATGTTTCTCTCTCTCTCCTCCTCTCTCTTCCAAGAGTATTTTAAGGAAAAAGAGGAAACCTGAGGGGTACTATCTAATAATAGGCTACATATTTCTTTTATTCTCCATGCTTTTATACAAGTTGAAATTATTAAGTAGTTGTTATAGGCTAGCAATACAACTACTTTATCATTTTAGAAGACTTTGGGTGTTAGGGGAGTCAAATGTATCAATTATTAAGACAAAATTACCCGAATATGAAACATATTAAACTTGAGTGCTCTACTTATCCATTTAAAGTACAGATAACAACTTCTAATTTCATGTTAGGCCCCCCCTAACAAAATCTTAAATGGGACTTTTCACTAGTAAGAGGAATTTGGATGTTAAGAAATAGCTTTGGGCCCTGGCTGGTTTGGCTCAGCTGTTAGAGTGTTGGCCTGCGGTCCAGAGAGACCCGGGTTCGGTTCCCACTAAGGGCACGTACCTCGGTTGCAGTTTGTCCCCGGCCCTGGTTGGGGTCGTGTGGGAGGCAGCCACTCGACGTGTCCCTTTCATGTAGATGTTTCTCTCGCTCTCTCTTCCTCTTTCCCCCTACCACTCTATCTGAACAAAATATGAAAAAATGTCCTTGAGTGAGGATTAAAAAAAAAAAAAGAAAAGAAATAGCTTTGGGCCCTGGCTGGGTGGCTCAGTTGGTTGGAGCATCAATCTTGTACACCAAAAAGGTTGCTGGTTCTATTCCCAGTCAGGGCACATACCTAGGTCGCAGGTTCAATCACTGGTGAGGGTGCATACCAGAGGCAACTGATTGATTCTCTCTCTCTCTCTCTCTCTCTCTCTCTCTCTCTCCCCCTTCCTATACAAAAAAAATTTTAAATCAATAAACACATACTTGGGTGAGGACTAAGAAAAAAAAGGAAAGAAAAAGAAATAGTTTTGGAAACACTGGTACAACTTACAAACAGAGAAATTTCCTAAGATAAAATACCACATTATACTAATTCTAACAATACCAGCTGATACATGTAAAGAGCTGGAGAAGAAGTCAACTAGAAGAAATGGGTATTTTATCCTTTGAAGAAAAACAAAGGAAATACGAAAATAGTGATGTATTAAAATATTTACTATCAAAGGCCTATCAAGGGTAATAAGAATTAACTTCTAAAATCAGTTTGCTTTATAACCCGAAAATAAATAAAGTCCATGACTCAATGACAGCAGTTGATAGAGGTCAACTCGTCTGATCAAGTCAAAGATCAAGTGGTGGGTTCAAAGTCTCCCAGACCTGGTCCATCACTAAGGGACTAAGATCCCATTTCTCCAGACGGCAGGGGGAAATGACTTGGCATTGCATCTCACACTTAAAATCTGTAGGGTTTCTTCCATGCCCTCGGAGCACTGTGCGTCAAAGCCTACCTTGGTGTGCTAAGCAGAGTGAAATCATGGAAAAGACATTTTTTGTCTTTCATTTCCTGAACGCCGTATAAACATACACTAAAACACTCCCGATCTCCATCAGAGACCATGGAAAAAAACTCAGATTTGCCATTTCCAACCCCTCCCCGTGTATAGGTGCTTGCACCTCAGCATTGGGCCTTGGAGTTCTCTTAGATCATTGTTCAGTGGCAAATTCACTGAGCGAGAAAAGCAACATGGGCCAGTAAGTCTGTCACCAAATGAGAAATTCGTATTTAAAATACCGATCCTACCACCGCTCTACCCTCTCACGTAAAACAAAAACAAAACCAACCCCCCCGCCCCCCGCAAACTTGCCCCACCATTATGAAGATCGTACAGGCTCTGATCAAATGTGTTTCTCAGTCATCCTTTAGGTAGCAGAGCACCTGGGGCGAGCTCTGGCCCCCACGCCCCAATCTCTCACCCGGGCCGGGCCAGGCCCCTAGACTGACAGGAGGGGCTAGTAGCCGGACGTCGGCTCCGAGGAGAAGGGAGGTATTATCGCCGAACGCCGCTCATACTAGGGACCGAAGTAACATAGGGCCAGAGGCAACTTGGCTTAGGTTGCGGGCAAGGCCTCTGAACTGACGAGAAGACAGGCAGGACCCGGCATAAGGGGAGGCGGGAGAAGCAGCCCGGCCTAGGCCGCACCAGGCCGCGGAGTGGCCATACGCGGCTTCCCGACTGGGGCTGTGAGCCAAGCCTTAGAGAAGAGGGTTATCATTACCTGGACGGGTTCCTGCAGCACCGTCATCCTTGAGGCTCAGGCCCACTTTCTGCAGTGCCTCAGGCCCCCCCCGCAGCGGCTCCGGCCCGGCCAGCCCCGGCTCATTTAAACTCACCAGCGACCGTTACCGGGGGATGGGGGCGGCCGAGCGATTGCCGAGCACCTCCGAGCGGGACACGGAAATACCCGAAGTGGAGAGATCCGCGCGGGAGCCAGACGTAAAAGCCCGAAAGAGGCCGGAAATGCCCGACGTGAATCGGCGGAGGAGGAGACCGTTGCCGGAAATTGTCGAGGATCACCGGAGACTACCGAGTCTGATCCAGAGCGTAGGTTCTTCTTGTCGGCCACGCCTTTACTCAAGCACGCCACGCCCAATCGGCCACCCTAGGCTGGGCCACGCCCAAACGGCAACCAGCAGGCTGGGCGTGACGTGCGGGAGCGGGCGGGGAGCCTTACGTGGCCTTACTGCCGTCTCGATTCACCACTCAACCTGTCTTAATTGGTGCGCGGTCGATTAAGCAAAGGGTAAAACTCGAGAGTTTGGGGCTGACTTTAATTAATCACGAAGTATTCGCCTGTTGAGTTTAGGTCATTCATTCATTCATTCCGGAAGTAGTTATTCATGGCTCAGAGGGAAATAGGAAATAAGGATTGCCACCCTCCAAAAATTTAGTGTGGCACCTGTCCTCAGAGATTACAGTCTGTTTAGGGAAGAGCAGTGTAATAAAGTGCTACATTCCGTGGTACCCATTATAAGTAATGTAAAAATTCAGAGAAAAGGGAAATTAATTGGGCTTAAGATGAGAAATGTTCCATGGCAGGAAAGAGGGAGGCAAATTGGGCTTTGAAGGATGGTTAAAATTAGGCGAAAAGAGAGTGTACATGAAGGGGAGCAGAAATGAGATCAGTCTGGTAGGGGTTAAGGCATTAACTGGAAATATTTACTTAGGTGACCAGATCTTGGAAAATCTCAGTGGCAGGCAGAAATTTGTATTCTTTTTTAAAAATCCTCACCAGAGGATATTTTTTCATTTATTTTCAGACAGAGTGGAAGGAAGGGACGGAAGGAGGGAGGGAGGGAGGGAGGGAAAAGAGAGAGAGAGAGAGAGAGAGAGGGAGAGAAACATCAATGTGAGAGAGACACATCGATTGGTTGCCTCCCATGTGAGCTGGACCAGGGGGGCTGGGGACCAAACTGAAACCAAATACATGCCCTTGACCAGAATCAAACCCATGACTCTTTGGTCCGTGGGCTGATGCTCTAACTACTGAGCCAAACCAGCCAGAGCAGAAATTTTTATTCTTGATAGGAGAAGCATTCTGGTGTATTGGAAAGAGTATAGGAAATCCAGAGGCTTGATTTTTAATTTAATCTCTGGCACTAACTAGTTTTGGGTTCTCAGACAATTTACAGTGCTTCTGAATTTCTATTTCCTTAGTCTGAAAAAATGATTAAGAGAATTAAGTGCATAATGTATGTGGCTGTATCTAACTCACATAGTAAGTAGGCTCTCTCAAATTTACTTCCTGCTCCCTTTTCTCCAAAATGTGTGAACAAGACACATATTACACTTTGTTTTTCAATAAGTGAGGCAAACAGTTTTTGTAGGTTAATTTTCTAGTCAGAACATCGCTAGACTAGATGGTATAGGCTAGACTCATGGTATATTTCACTGTGTGGAAATTTCCCTTTCTGGTTCACATGTTTTATGCAAATAAAATCAAGTTAGATGCCCTGGCCGGTTTGACTCAGTGGTTAGAGTGTCGGCCCGCAGACCAGAGTCCCAGGTTCAGTTTCTGCTAAGGGCACGTACCTCGGTTTCGGTTTGTCCCCTGCCCTGGTTGGGGTCGTGTGGGTGGCAACCAGTCAATGTGTCTCTCTCTCTCTTCCTCCCTCTCTCCCTCCTGCTCTATCTGAAGATAAATGCAAAAAATGTCCTCAGGTGAGAATTAAAAAAAAAAAGAAATCAAGTTAGAAGTGTCACTCCCTTCCTTTGGGTGATGTTAGAGAGAGGTCTTTTTTTTTTTTTCTTTATTGATTTTAGAGATAGAGGAAGGAAGAGGGAGAGAGAGATAGAGAACATTGATGGGAGAGAACATGGATTGGTTGCCTCCTGCACAACCCCCACTGAGGGTCAGCCGCAACCTGGGCATCTGCCCTGACCAGGAATTGAACCGGGACCTCTCAGTGCACAGGATAATGCTCAACCACTGAGCCACAGCAGCCGGGCTCCATTAGCTATTTAAAGTTTAGTTAAAATCAAGTGAAATAAAAAATGAAGTTCTTCAGATGCCCTAACCACATTCCAAGGACTCAATAGACATGTGTGGCTAGTGATTTCCACACTGAATAGTGCAGATATAGAATAATACCATCATTGGCCTGACTAGGGCTTGGAATATCCCAGATAGCTTCACTCACATGTTTGAGGACTTGGTGCTAGCTGTTGACTGAGCCCCTCAGTTCTTCATACCTCCCTTTCATTCTTGGCCTCTCATCGGTCCGCAGTTTAGCTCTATCTTCTTGACTTGGTGGCTGACAACCAACTAGATGAAAACAGAGCTGCGGGGCCTGTTAAAGCCTAGGCCTATAAGTCAAACTCCATCACTTCTTGTTGGTCAAAGTAAGACACAGGGGCTGCCTGCATTCAACAGGAAGAGAAATTGACTGCACCTCTTGATAGAAGGCGTGGTGAAATGTCACTGCAAAAGGCATTGACAAAGGGAGAGATTGATCATTGGGTCATCTTTGGAAATAATCTACCAGGTATGAGATGAGAGAATCTGGTAGGGTTTGGAAATGGAAAGGAAGGGATGGGCCCTGGCCGGTTTGGCTCAGCGCTTAGAGCATCGGCCTGCGGTCAAGAGAGACCCGGGTTCAGTTCCCGCTAAGGGCACGTACCTTGGTTGCAGTTTGTCCCCGGCCCTGGTTGGGTCGTGCGGTGGCAGCCACTCGATGTGTCCCTTTCATATCGATGTTTCTCTCTCTCCCCCCCTCCCACTCTGTCTGAACAAAATATGGGGAAAAAAGAAAAAAGAAAGAAAGGAAGGGATGGATGGATAAGAGATATTACTCTTAAAATTTGATGCATTTAATTGAACACAACACTCCAGATTTATTCTAATTAATTCAGCATGCAGTAGGGCTATTGCTTTTATTATCTGGCCGCTTCTGTTAAAGTAGACTAAAATTGTATTTGCATTTTTTAGCAGTCACATGGCACTTTGCTCATGCTAAGCTTTTGTTCACTTTACAAACACAGCTCTTTTCCACACAACATGCTGCCAGGCCAAGTCTTGTACTTGTGCAATGGATTCTTATAAACTTAAATGTAGGAACTTACAACACAGGGTACATAAAGACAATATTTTTTTGTGTGAAAACATGTATCTAGAGTCAGCATGTAAAGAGTCTGTGATGCTTGGCATTCTGGCTCTTAAGCTTAGAATTTGCCTAAAGTTTTTTTCTCCAAAAAGAGGCATCTCTTTTCTGACTGTTGTTCACTGGGTCAATACATCTGTTGTAGTTTTCTATTCAGCCACAGCAAGGCCACATTGTTGGAAGTTGTGCTTTGATGCAATCATTTAGAGAATTTTTACTTCTTTATTCCTGATTGACCTACTTAAACACATCATCCAGCAAGCACTTGGGCATCCTGCTGCCATCCATTATCCACATATGTTTAGCTTGATGTGCAGTTGTGTTTCAATAAGCATTATTCCAAATATGGTAAATTATCTCTTCTGTTTAGCCTGTCTCTTGGCCAGTTTCATGTTCAATCAGATTTGGAGGCCAGCATTAGGAAGCTATTCAAGAAGCTAGACAAGGTGTCTTTGGCAAGATGCAGTTACCACTGAAACACAACCTAGAGTAAGCTTACTCCTCTTCTGAATTCTTTCAGTCCTCTCTATCTGTGCCCTTCATTTGTCTCTGTTGGATGATGCCTTTTATCCCTTTTATATTACCTGACCTTGAGGCTCTTTCCTCCCCATGTTTGCTCTTCTCTCTTGGTGAAATTATCCCTGTTCTTCAGCATCTCTGTGTGTGAGCACACAGTCTCCTGGTTTTCCTCCTAGCGTTCTGTTCTTTATCTTTGCAGCCCCTCTAACAGTAGAATGCTTTGTGGGTCTGTTCGAGGCCTTCTTGTTATCCTACATAAAACACAGGCAAACTCATCCAATCTCATGGCTTGAGTGTTTCATCTAAAATTGTTCCCAAATCTGTATCTCCAGTCAGACTGCCTGTTAGAACTCTAGACCCAAATGCCTAGCTGTCAACTGGACATCTCTGTCTGGGTGTCTCACAGGTACTTTGTTCAGAATGGAACTCCTCATTTCTCATTTTTCACACTTGCAATATTTCCTATCCCAGTTGAAGGCATTGTCATCTTTTCCAATGCCCAAATCTGAGACTGCTCTCTTTAACAGGTAGTCACAAAGCCCTACTAATTTTTCTTCCTAAATATACCTTTATGTCCCTTTCTGCCTCTAGTTTTACCTATCTCCAAAAACAAGTCTGATCGCCTCAGGACTCCTCTCCCTAAATCCCCACCCCCAGCTCTGAGGATATAGTCCAAATCTTTTAACTTGTCTTATAAGGCCCTCCAAGATCTAGTCCCTGCCTCCTTATTCAGCTTTATCTCACCTGTCTCCCTCTCATACTCTATATTCCAATGAAGGGATCAGAACATGCTACTTTGGAGTAAGGATTATTTTGAGCTGAAAGCAGTTAAGAAACAGCAAGCATAGAAATCCTTGCCCTCCCCTATCTGCCCAAAAGCAGGTCATAAATTTACCTTTGTGAAGGTGTTTCTCTCCCCTCTCCTACACCAGAAGGAGGAAAACAACCATTATCACCAGAGACACTAAATTGGGTCTGCACAAACAAACCTTACTAAAATAACCTTTATCTTTCAAAGTTTCTCCATTTATTTACCTTTTCACAATTTACTACCCCAAGAAGCCCAAGCCCATTTCCCTTTGTTTTATCACTTGCCCACAAGTTTATTGCCCCAAATTCTAACTACCTGTTTGAGTTACTTATCACTGAATTTTGCTGTGTGTGTCTATGTTGCATATATAAATAAACTCTTATTTTTAAAATTCTGTTAATCTG